GCAAAGAGTCAAAAATTTGAGATTTATACCCAAAAAGAGACAGAAGAAGAAAAAACCCTAGATACATTTAACTCCATCAAGCAACTTACCATCTTTTCGAATCAGAAGATTTAGAGATCCGTATAGAACCTGATAAGAACAGAGAATATGAAATTAAACCCACCATAAGATGCGGAAGAAGAGAACAAAACCCTAGCAGTAAAATGGAAAAATCTGAAACAAAGATTGGCTTTGTATACCCACAAGAAGGTGACAACTTTGAGGAGAGTGAGCGATGAGTAGAAGAAAGAGATCGGAGAGGACGGAGGCGGCGAGATTTCGAAATCGGTTTCGTTTTTCTAATTATGTATTGGCTCTTTACAGTGGGAGGAGGGATTTCCAATTAATCGTGTACTCTTTTATTATTAGGTCAATGGAACTTTAAGGCTTTTGCAACCGTACCCCTTAGCTTTCTAATATTTCAAATTCAGCCTTTTAATATAATTTATATTTTGTTTAAACAGCACACCCATCAACACATCCGATGTCGTCCAGCGGTTAGGATATCTGGCTTTCACCCAGGAGACCCGGGTTCGATTCCCGGCATCGGAACTTTTTTCAAAAATTTATATGATTTTTTTTTAATTTAAAAGTGTTATGAATTTAAAAGTGTTAATTAAAAGCTAGCGATATGTAAAATCTTATCCTAAACCGATCCAGGTAAATCTTAAACCCTCGGTAATGTGAATTTCACTTGACAATCAATCACATGAGATTCTTCAGACCTGTCTTTCTATATTAGCAATCCAACTCCAATGTTCTTGAATATCGGCCATCAACGTGTAACTGGTTTCAGCACATGAAAAGCTGATAATCAGGTTCCCCACCTCCGACATTCAAGTAATTGACATCAACCGCGATTGTTCCCAAATCATCTGGTGGAGAATGGATTAGACAGAGAACTTCAATAGATCATAAAAAAAAACTTTTAAGAGATTTTGAATGTGTGAACAATGAAGCAAATACAAGATGGCTAGAAAGATGAGAGAAGGCTTAAGAGTTGTTTAAACCTTCGTATATTGTTCTTACAAACTTAACATAGTCAGAAATGAGATCTCGGTATATGATTCCATCTGGGTGCGCATCAAGCACCACAAGTACACCTACGGATCAATCAAACGATAAGGTAACTATATAGTTGCTTCTTGCGATTCAAATCATGTTTGCTCAATGAACCAACATAACACAAGACAAGGGCTTTGAAATAGACAAGAGTACTCTTGAATACGTCTGAATCAAAAACATTTTAGATAGTTGACAAGGTTGGTTTCGAAGTTATTACTCTTAGAAATGAAAACAGAGAGTTAGGAGAAATTATACCTGGTGCAAGCCAGTCTGAACTAGAGCTGCTGGGTAATGGTCCAAGCCAAAGGATATTCCTCAAGTTCATTGAATCATCATACGTCACCTCAGATCCTAACAGAAATGAGATACAAATCATATTACTGAAGATTTAAGAGATCTCTGCGACCACTTCTATATTTCAAGAGAGTGCAAGAGAAGTCCAGTTACATGGACTAGGTGGGCAACGATACCTCTCTGGCAATATCCCATGTTGTAAGGAAACACTTCCTTGTCATAAGCTGGGTATTCTTTAGCATGAAACCTACCATTTTTATCAAACACAAGATACACTGATCAACAACACTCCCTAAAATCTACTGCAACCTTATACCCCACCTAAGAAGTTCTTCCAACAATCATTATATGCCTAGCCTTTCTAACCTTATAACCAGAGTGGGTTTTGAGAAGACAGGCTTACAATATTCCAAGGCGTCCAGATTTTGTGGCAAGGAATAGGTGGCCATGGAACAGATCATATCGAGTCAAGGAAACATTCAATCCGACACTAGGTCCCCTAGATTCAATTAGACGAAACAAGAACTCGAAATATGAGTTCACTTCCTGTTCATTGGCATCACCAATCAGATCACAATACCATAATCTCAGAGAGGAAACACTAATCATGTTCAAAATTAACGTTTACCTCTGCTATGAAGTGACGGCCATATGGAGTTCTAGTGAGTTGGCATTTGCCTTTTCTTGATCCTTCAACGTCAGGAACCTACACAAACCCGAGTTTTAGCAAATTCAACCACTAACCACAGAGTAATTTTAGGATCAATTGATAAGCTTCGATCGCAGACGAACCGGGAGCATTTTGGGATCGAGGGTTCGCTGAATTGCGCCGGGATCACCGCCGGAGTCAACAGCGAGACGAGCAAGCTCGAGAATCGGCTCCGGTGGCCACCATACGAGAGAGTTATCCTCCTCAAACCTGTGTCGCCTCTCAAGGGCGTCGATTTTCCCTGAGCAGAGTCCAGTGCGAAGCGAACATTTTCCCAATTCGGGTCGAGGTTTATCCGTCTTGAAGGGGACGAGGAATTTGATACACGATCGGATTTCTCGAGACACGATGGGGTTAATGGTCGACGCGGCGGAGGGTGGTCCAAGAACAGAGAGGAGATCGTCGGCGGTAGCTTT